CTGGCTGCCGCTGCGGCGTGCGCGGAGCGCGGAGGGGCGGGGCGAGGCGGAGCGGGGCAGCCTGCCCCAGAGGTTGCTGGGCCGATCCCGAGCCGAGCCGAGCCGGGCCGAGCCGAGCGGAGCGGAGCGGGCCCAGACGGAAGTACCCATTGAGATGGTCACTGAGTGCTCTTGAGCTCGGCAGCGACACAGGAGAGAGAACCTTACCGGCCGTCAGCAGCATCGTCCAGGCAGCGGCAGCAGCGGCGGCGGCAGCGGTTGCAGCAGCGGTAGCGGTAGCAGTAGCGCGGGCTGCAGGGGTGGCAGGGGCGCACTGTGGGCTCGTTAGTCAAGAGCAGAGCGGAGCAGAGCACGGCGGCACGAGCAGCTCGCACACACATCTCGCAGCCAGGATACCTCCAAGGTAAGTGCAGTGCAGTGAACAGTGCACAGAACATTCCGCGGTACAGTGAAACGTCTTGCAGTGCTAGTCGTCGAGTTTTGTTTTCATTCAGCCGAAATTTGTCGCGGATGACGCGGTCGTGACAGGGGCTTACGCCCTTTAGTTCTACAGGCGTGTTGTGCAACAGCCACACGGTGGCTTGACGTGTGGTTTTCGTGTGGTTTGCGAGATCTTGTGCAGCGTTTCCCGCGTGTGAAGTTTAGCGGTGCTCACTCGGACTGGACTTGGCCGCGATCGTGTTTGAGCGGTGCAGCTCGCGGCACGCTGCCCGTCGTGTGGAGTTTCCCCGGTGATCCGGGCCACACACATGAGCGGTGACGGGCGTGCGCGCGGCCCGGGGCTGCGGATGTAGCGGGCTCACGTCAACGACGTCAACGTGATCGCGGCCACCCACCCTCGACTCTCTTGCTCCCTTTCTCGTGACCGCCGTCGTGGCGTTGACGTCGACGTCAGCGCGTCGGTGTCGATTTGGCGCTCGCCTTTCGTTAGCCGTCGTAAAAATCACGGGGTGCCTTGCGGGGCGGGGCGGGACGGGAGGGGCCGCTGGAAATGATAATAAAAACGACAGTTTCGACGAAGCGAGTCTGGAGCAGAAGGCCCCCGCCGTCGTTTTCCCCGAGTGGCAAACTCTTCCTCTCGCTCTGTCCTTGTCGCACTCGTTGTCGACACTGTAGCGCCGCCCGGCTTGTGTTTCCTCCCGCGTTAGGTCGGCCCGGGCGGAAGAGCCCATTGCGCAGAGTCGTCGAGACATACCCGACCATTACCGGCTACTTAGGTGGTTTTAGAGTTTCCTGCCGCCCGCCGCCGCCCCGCCCGAGCTGGCACGGGCCCCGGCGCGTGCTGAGTGCTGGACCAGCCCGACAGTAAAGCCAATACAGTAACGTACCGAGCGGGCGCCGTGCCCGCCCCGGGCCCGCCCGCCGAGGCCCACGTTTTCTGCGTAACGCCCCAACCGCACCGGGATGGCTTGCGGAAATGACGCTCCCAGGACGGAGCAAGGAGGGTGCGGGTGCGCTGCGCTGCTCCGCACGCAGACGCAGACCGCGCCGCGGTCCTATTCGAAACACCCGCCTCGGAGACCTAAACGCAAGCGGTCCAGCACGCTCTCGGTGCACCTGGGCCTCGGCAGAAAACATGTTGTGTAGCAATTGTGAACCCTGCGGTCCTTGTTCGGTCGCGTCGTCAGGCGAGCAGGCGAGGTCCGGCGGCGGCGGGGCCAGGCGGGGCGCGCGTCCGAGGTCTCTTCTCATTATTTGTGGAATCCCCTGAAGGACCCCTAGTGCGTGGCCCCGGCCCCGGCCTGGCCAGTACGGGCGCGGCGAGACCCTAAGGACCCCGTGCGATGCATACCCCCTACGGGGCCCTCGGGCCCGGCCAAGGCCTCAATGCGGAAACCGACAAAGCTAATAGCCCCACCTCCCCCTCCCCTACTCATTCGTTGAAGGTGTAGCAGTTCAGTAAAGACCGAGAGAAAAAGAAACAACATGTAAAAGAAGTCAGCTGTCACGTTTTCTGAAAAGAAATAAAAAATAAAAAGGCCCCAACGACAACTCCTCAATTTGATCGCAGCCAAAATTTCGAACAGAAATTTCCCCATCGCGTCCTTGAGCCACTAATGTATCACTCGCTCTGCTGTCCATTCATTAATTCTCGTCCCGGACAGGAGGAGGACAGCCCGGGACAGCGTCGGGACGGTGGTGGGTGGGCCCGGGTGGGCCTCGCCGAGATGGCACTGCACCGCCAGGTCCTCCTCTCGTATCGCCAGACCGGCCGGCCGGCCTGGCGGCTGGATGGGTTCAAAAATAATAATAAATAAAATAAAAAGGGAATAATATGAGATGCACAAAGAGCTTTTGCGCGCGGCGCGGCGTTGCGGGGCTCGGGCCAGTCGGGCCGGGCTGGCCGGGCTGGCCCCCCGCTGCGCCGCCGTCCGGTCCACACGCTGAGGCTGCGCGCGCGAGCCCCGAGCTTTTATTACACTAATTCCATTTCTCCCTGTAATTGCACGCGATGAGTGTTGGAACACACAGCTGGACGGCTTCGCGAGTAAGAGGAGGAGG